TACATAAACAAAATCAAGCAGTCTCTAAGACAAAGGAGGAAATGACCTCCAAGAGCAGCACCCAGCTCCTCCCAGGGAAGAGCCTTGACACTCTTTGTGTGTGTGTGTGTGTGAGACACTCTTTGCAGCTTCAGTGCCTCAGCACAATGGGGTCAGTCCATATGGGGACCAGAGAGACACTGCAGGAGGGAGCACGATGCCAAAGAAAGAGCGCAGGTAGCAGGAAAATTCTGCTGTGGAACTACATTAACTCAGTATGTATCACTCAGACTTTCCTGCATTATTCTGGAGTATGAGCAGTAGGAGTATTGCTACCAGGCTAATGTTAATGCATGTTGGTTAGTCTGCCTTCAGCTTCTATAGCAGAATGATATGTTTTTTCAAAGAAATGCAACTCTGAATGTTTTAAGGTCCGTACAAATGTTCCATATAAGCAAGCAAACACAAAAAGAACTAACTTGGACACAAAAAGAGCTAAAAAGGACTAACTGTTCCTTCCTTCCTTCCTTCCTTCCTTCCTTCCTTCCTTCCTTCCTTTCCTTCCTTCCCTTCCCTTCCCTTCCCTTCCCTTCCCTTCTCTTTCTATCTCTCTTTCCCTTTCTCTCTTTCTTTCTGAGTTAACATCAAACATTTAATTCTCTGCAGCTGTGTTTAGTAATACATAACAAGTCATCAGTAGCTGCAGTACTATTGCGTGGCTAGCTTTTCAGTTTAGATAGATAGATAGTCAATCATTTTAAAAGAAATTTGCATTAATATTTTAGCCTGTATCCTAAAGCTGCATGAAATTCTCTGCAGGACAGTGGATCTGTATTCAGCAATGCGGAGAGTTAAAAGAACTGTGTGGATGTGCTGGACATTTGTCAAGACAAGCTGAAAAGAAACAGTGCTGTGAATCAAGGCAATTCGGTTTGCATTCTTTCAGCTATCTCTTTTTAGGTAACTGGAGGCAGTTTTAAGAAGCCGTCATAAATGTTGCCTCTGCTTGGCAGAAAACACTGTAAGAAGGCTAAAAAATACAATTTTCCACTAACTCATAGTTAGAAGGGCAATTAAGAAGACATTTCCATAGGTTGGAATATCACCTATGAAGACAGCTTGAATTGCATGAATTTGATAAAACTCTTGGCACATGGAAAAAAAAAAAAAGAACAGCCAACAAAAAACCATGGAATGCTGCTGAGCTTGTTTCTCTTTTAGAAGGAGAAAAACCCAAGCTTTTTTTGCTGGAAATGTCTTCATGCTGTAGCTTATGCTTATGCTGCAGCCTAAAATTCTACTAATTCTAACCTTTAACTTGATTTAATCAAGTTATAACTTCAGCAGATCTACGATAATCTTTCAGCACGTTTTAAACAGAGCAACAGTTTTGCAGATAGAGAAAAATCAGCCCCTTCCATATTTTTGCTGTAGTGCTGCACTCCTCAGCCCTTCCTCTGCCTTTTTGTGGCCTTGTGTTACGCTGTGTAGTTTGGGAATCTTGTTTTGTAGGGAAGGCAGCAGTGTGCCAACCAGGATCTCATTTCCTCAATGCCATAATCCTGTGTTCAAATTCTTTCTTAAACTGTATTTACTGTTTCTTAATACTGTATTTTAATTGCTCGAGCCAGATAAAGCAATGTTGATTTTGAATGGGTCACTGACAAATTACGAGTAAATTAAAAACTGCTTTCTGCTCTTCTTAATACACTTCAGTTGGATACTGTGCATGCTGCTGGGCAAGACTTGAAAACGTTATACAACATAGCAGATTAATCTTACCACAACAAAACAAAATGCACTTTCTATTAAAAATAAAAGAATTTTAAATCCATGTTATCTACTAGCACTAGGACAACCTCTCCTCAGCAGTATTCAGAGACAACAAACTGCTTTTTCTGTCTTTTATTTTTAATTTCTTCTCAGAATCAGACTGAGAGGTTGATGTTTGCCTCCCAGTCCACCCGAGCCATGCTCTGCCCAGCAGAGGTGTGCCAGCCCAGTGCTGCCACCTCTGCCACTTCTTGTGTTGAGGGCCTCCGAGACTTGGCTGCAGTTCTCACAGCCAGACCAAGGCCATACTTGCATAGGAAGCCCAGAATTATGCTGTCCTGCGTGCATCTCCCACCACCCATCAACAGACATCCTCCTGATCTCTTGTTGGAGCCATCAGAGCAGGGATCTGAAGTCTCTTAGATGTTGATGGAAAAAGGCAGTCCAGAGCTCAGGTGGGAAGCTGTGCTCAGGAGCCAGGAGCACTGGCTCTGCAGGCCCCTGCTCACGAAGCTGTGCTCAGGAGCCAGGAGCACTGGCTCTGCAGGCCCCTGCTCACCTGCAGGCCATAACCTGAGCATGTTGCAGGCTGCAGAACAGCAGAACACTCAAGAAAACTGTCATCTGACCTCACTGAGTATCAAATGGTTTTACCTTATGACCGCATACAGCACAATTCAGCTTCTTTGCCCACCAGAGTGCACAGCTGTGGCAAAGCTTGTGGATACAGGGGATCACATAAGCTGCATTGTCCCAACTACGCCCACAGATGGGTCATGTCCAGTCTGATGCCACCTCTGCGGTGCCAGGCGGTGTGGTGGGCTGTGTAGAGATGAGGTCAGGAAGCTGCTCCTCTCACAGGCACTGAAGTGGGCAGAGAGGGTTGCAAAGAGAAAAAGGCTGCAGTCACTCACTGTCCCAGGGACAGGCAGCAGCAATGCCCTGGTCCATCAGCAACAAACTCTCCTGGCTCCTGGTCCCCATCAGCTGCCATGGGTTGATGTACCTGTACCACTCACCTCCACTGCTGTGAGTGCACCCCACGGAGCCCCAGCTCCCTGAGCCAGGCAGGGACAGGGAAAGGCTGGTGATGCTGTGGGATGGGCACTAAGAACTGCTGTTGGCATTCCTACGGCATAACGCAACCAAGGCCTCATTCAGTGCTCCAAGTCTCACAGCTGTGCTCAATTGGAGTCCAGGAATGGATTCACACTGGACTCTGCTGGTGCCTGAATGTATAAAGCAAGGGTCAGTGAAATCACGGTCACCTGTCACTGACTTACAACCCCTTGGTCAGTGACCTCACAGCCCACTGATGCATGTATTTGGGCACTGGCCTGGGCCTCCATCACTCTCCATCATTCAGTGATTTTCCTTTGAAATGATGACACATTCAGGAAAATAAAAACCACACATTTACTATCTCCACGCTAATCCATCTTCTGCGAACTGTTTCCACTTTCTGAAACTTCTTTGAGAGACACTTTTTTTCTGGTTCTGGTTTGGATGCAGTACAAATTGGTGACAATCTCTGTATCAGGGGTACTTTTTGCAGGCTGTTTGCTCACACTTTCCTCTGCAACTTACTCTACATGACCTGCTTCAGCAGGGGTTGCACTGGAGGATCTCCCTATGACTCTGTGATCTTCTTGATTTTCTACTGGAATTTTTTTTCTTTTTTTTTCTTTTTTTTTTTTCTGTTTTCATTAGATTATCCTTTGTGTCCCCCACGGAAAAACTGACCACACATCTGTGTGACTATGGCACTGTTTAAGTTTCTTATGTTCTTATTGGAAGAAGTAGAGCACAATGTATATTGTAACTTGTTTTTAGAAATAGATGACTTGAAAAAGTAGAAATACCATATATTTTAGCAGTGTATTTTAGAAATATAGTTGTTGAATTGTTGTATTACGTGATTAATTCTTGCTTGCAAAATTGCAATAGCCTTTAGATGTTGCAAATGGTATGGATGCATTTCCCTACTGAGCATGCTTCAATGAAGAAAGTTCACATAAAGGACAAGGGAGGAAGATAATTGATGAAATAGAAGACTGTTGGTTGGACTGTCACGATGCTAGAAGGATGCTAGATGGTAGAAGAGACCAAGGAATAGAAGACTGAAGACCTCATAAATCACTACCTGAGATAGGCGTGCGTATGTTAATTGCCTCACGTGTGATTGATGAATGTGTACTACCTGTGGAAATACAGTGGACTCTGAATCATGTGATGTTTGAATACGATTATGGTGCAAATATCCCCAGTGCTTCTGGTGCTGCTAATAAAGAATATCTGATATAGTGGTAACAAAAGTTTGCTGTTAAGTTTCTATGCATCAATTTCTTTGATTCAGCTCCTAAGAAGCAAATATTTCTCCTCTTTGTCATAAAAAAAAAAAGTAAGATTCCAATCGTCATTTTTCATTATTTCTTTGCCACTTCTGAGCCATGGCATCAAAACACACTGGTTAAATCTTCCTAAAACGTTCAAAATGAAATCTGGATTATTTGCTTTTAATTCACATCAGTAAAACCGAATTTGTCTACTTCTCATCCTCCCAGCACCCAAGGACAATCCAAAGCAGCCTATTTCTATGGCAATACATCACGTACGTCTCATCAGGCTTTCCTGGTAATTATTTTTAGCGACTGATCTGCGACTGATCGGTGCCAGCACGGCCCGTAGGGCACCAGCAGCAGCGCCGGCCGCCAGCGGGAGCCGCTGAGGGACGGACGAAGGAGCGCTACGACGGATGTGCGCTGCCAAGCAGGAGTAAGCTTCGACATGCGTGTGCTGCCTCCATGAGGAGGCAGCAGGTTTATAACGCTGTTTACTGGAGCCAACGCTCTTCCAATCGAAACGACTCTATGGGTCTGTGGCACTACGAACAAACCCCGCACGCAACACCAGCCCCATCGCGGCTGCGCACAGCGCCCACAGCCGTCTGTCACGACGCCTCCTCCACAGCGCCCCCGACACTCGGCGGCGCCCAATGGCAGCTAGAAGCCCCGCCTCCGTAGCGCCTCTCCGCCAATCGCCGCGCGGCCCCGCCGTGTCACCTCCTCTCGGCCCCTTCTCTCGCCGCGGCCGATTGATGGACACTTGTTTCGTCCGATCGCAGAGCTCCGCAGCGCCGTGTGGGTGGTGCGGGGCAGCGCCGTTGTTTGGCGCGAGAGTGCAGCGCGGCGCTCTCTAGCGCCGCGACCGCTCGCCCCCCGCAGCGGGCGGTCTTGCGCTGCGTTCCATTGCCTCGCGGGCCGGGCTCCTGCCATGGCTCTGGTAGCTGGTGTCATCCGGCGGCTGGATGAGGCCGTGGTGAACCGCATCGCGGCCGGCGAGGTCATCCAGAGACCGGCAAACGCCATTAAGGAGATGATAGAGAACTGGTAAGCTCTTGCGGCCCGCTGAGGGGACGTACGGCGGCTGTGGGCACGGCTGTGGCGCTGCTGGCCGCTGTGGCGTGACGTCTGGCGGCCAGGGCAGCTGCAGCTACTGCTGGGGCTGCTGCCGGCCGTACGGCTGTGCCTGCGCGCAGCTGGGGGGCGGCAGGAGATACGCTTGTGCTGAACGCCTGGAGGGACGGCTCGCCCCTGGACTCCCTGGACGGGGGTTGGCTCAGTTTGCTGCTGTGTTGGATGTGAATCGTTTGCACTGAGCGCCAGGTGAAAGGTCTGTCGAGGATACAAGTCGTGGAATTTCACAGTTTCACCTGCACGTCCCTTGGTACGACAGCTACGCGATTCTTGCCGACACCTCCCTGGGCAGCCTGTGCCACTGTGTCACCACTCCTGGAGAGGTGTTTCCTGACGTCCGACATGATATATGCGTATTTATTCTCTAGAATTGCTGTTCTGTAATGTGCTTTATTGGTTTCTGCAGTTTGGATGCTAAATCTACAAGTATCCAGGTGGTAGTCAAAGAAGGTGGTCTGAAGCTCATCCAGGTCCAAGATAACGGCTGTGGTATCAGAGTGAGTGACGTTTAAAGCAGATGGCTGTGCACTGATATTTTACACATAATGCCTCTTAAAACTTACATTGGTTTGTAAATATTTATGCTCTTGAGTAGACATGGAAAAAATTGGAGGTGCTCGAGGCCGGGTTGGATGGAACTCTGTGCAGCCTGCAGCCCTGCCTATAGCTACGGGTTGGAACTGGGTGGGCTTTAAGGTCCTGCCTGGCCTAAGCTGGTCTGTGATTTTTACAAAACAGAAAGCAACTGTTACAATTCTTTTATCTCTTTCACACAGAAGGAAGATCTGCACATCGTTTGTGAGAGGTTTACTACCAGTAAACTGCAGAAATTTGAAGACTTGGCTAGTATTTCAACATATGGTTTTAGGGGTGAGGTAAGCTCTCCATCAGGGTTTTGAAATTGTTCACTGTTTATAGTTATCCTTTTGCACTGCTGTTTGTGTAATTTCTCATTCTGAACACACTTTACAGGAGGTTCTGTTTTCTGAGAGTCTGTCTTGTGAACATAATCAAGATATATTTCCATGTCTAAATGGATTCCTAGGGAGAGGTATATGTTATTGTTTTTTGGAGTAAGAAAACTTTTAATTTAGGCAAGGCCCTCTTGTGACATGTTGCTTCAGGAGTCTGCAGGTGAAAGACCATGAAAAACTTGACAGGATGTAAATCCTTGATGACAGACATTGGACTAAATATGATAATTAAAGGCAGAAGAAAGTCCTGGATAAAAGTCAGTTTTTTGGGTTTCCATAAACCCACATTCATGAGAGCTCTACTGACCTGCTATTTTCTGGTGCATGTTCTTATTAGTTGCTTGCAAGGAGTGTATAAAAACCTTGTGATGTTCTTTAAAGTGTTTGCACTTGTTTAGCTACCAATGATCTCTAGAGCAAAGTTTAAAAAGATGCTTTTTCTTTCTCTAGGCATTGGCTAGCATCAGTCATGTTGCCCATGTTACAGTAACAACTAAAACAGCTGATGCAAAGTGTGCATACAGGTACGCTCATTATTATCCAAGTAACTTATGCTGTAGGTGATAATGAACAGATTCTCTTTACAGCACTTGGTGGCGGCAGGAATGGATACTGAGGGAATATTTTGTTTCTAGAGTAGTTGTAAACAAGGCCCAGAAACACATAACATATCAGAAAACATAGCTTGGGTAATTTTTGTTCCAGAATATAAAGGTAAACTTTACCTAACAGTACCGTTTAAAAGTGGAGGGGATCTTAAAAGGCGTTGCACTTCAGCAGCTAATGTAGGGTAAACTTGTCTTTTTCACAATTTGGGATAAAATATATGTACTCAGTCAGCATTTCCTGCAAATTTCCAAAGTCTTTGAGCATGGGAATTTGCTTCATGTCGCCTGATCAAAAGAATTTTGAGTACTCTCCTCAAAACTCAAATATAAGTAAAAATATTTCTATTATTATTATTTTTATTAAATTAAGTTTGTAGGGTCTGTGAAATGTCAAAACAGAAAAAAAAAAAAAGAATGCCCCTTGAAATTCTAGTCTATATAATCTGCTGAAATAACTGAATGGATCAGAAATCATTTATGCCAAAATCCTTTTCTGGACAAAAAAGAAACACACCTTATATGTGAAGTCAGGAATGTCTTAACAGTGTAACTCAGGTATAAATTTTAGGGGAAGAATTATTATTAGTGCAGGTGTAAATATTAAAGAGACTAAAGGACAATAATCCTACTGTTGCAGGAAAGTCTGAGTAGTGCGATTTCAAAACACGTATCCTTTTATCTGGTACTTTTTCTCTGCTGTTATTCTCACTCTCCTGCTTCTCCTGTGTGTGCAAAGGTTATTGAGGACTACTTTTCTCTAGCACAAAGTGGGGAGTTGCAGTTAAGCTTCAGCAAACTAAGTTCTGTACTGGTAGGAGTATGATGATGACAGGGTTTCTGTCCATTTAGTTTTTGTTTCCTCTCCCCCCTCTCCCACCTCTATTAACTGTTGGACAACTTTTTATTTTCTGTTTAGAGCTTCTTACAGTGATGGAAAAATCAAAGCTCCCCCAAAACCCTGTGCTGGAAACCAAGGGACACAAATCATGGTAGGTTGGTTGATTTGTTTTTGCACATTCTCCTACTATTCCCAGGTCTTTGTACCACCTATTGCTACGTGTTGCATTGCAAGGTATATGACAGCATCACTTAGAATATTTTTGAAATGTTTTTTTTTGTGTGCCTTGATTGCAACAGCTGTTTCAGTATTTATTTGCATTTCATTAAAACAGTTTAGTTGGAGAATCCAGTGCTATCTGCAATAGAAGAAATGCAACTTTCAATGGAAAGCAGATGTTTGTGGTGTTGTGGTGTTGGTTTAAAAACAACAAAGAACTGATGTACTAAAATACTTAAACATTGCATTTTACTAGGTGAAACTAAGCAGGTAAGGAAACACTGAACGTTGATCCTTTATAATGGGTCCTTCATGCTAGGCTGTGTAGGGATGGGGCCAGGAAAGCCAGGGCACAGCTTGATGCCAAAAAGAATAAGAAAGGCTTCTACAGGTATCTCAGCCAGAAAAGGAAGGTCAAAGAGGGTTTACCCTCTCCTAGAGAGTGACACGGGCAGGCTGGTGACAACAGACAAGGAGAAAGCTGAGGTACTTAACAACTTTTTTGCCTTGGTCTTTCCTGGTAACTGCTTGCCAAGCAGGTTCAAACGTTTGGTTTGGTAAGAGGGGATTGAAGAAGCAATGTTCCTTCCACTGTAAGCAAAGGTCAGGCTCACAACTGCCTGAGGAACCTGAACATCAACAAGTCCATGTGGGTCCCAATGAGATGCATCCCAGAGTCCTCAGGGAATTGGCTCATATAGTTGCCAAGCCACACTCTATGATACTTGAAAAGTTGTAGCAATCAGGTGAAGTCCTGGGTGACTGGAAAAAAAGGTTACAGTCGTACCCATTTTTAAGAAGGGTAAAAAGGATGACATCAGGAACTACTGACCTACGAGACTGACCTTTGTGCTAAGATCATGGAATAGATCCTTCTGGAAGCTATGTTAATGTATATGGAAGGCAAGGAGGTGATATGGAAGAATCAGTATGGCTTTACCAACTGCAAATCCTGCTTGACCGACTAGTGGCCTTGTCTGATGGTGTCACTGCATCAATGGAAGCAAGGGAAGAGCCACTGATGTCATCTATCTGGACTTCAGTAAAGCCTTTGCCACAGTACCTCTCAGCAGCCTTCTCTACAAATTGGAAAGATATGGATTTGATGGGTGAACAGTTTGATAGACAAAGAACTGGCTGCATAATCAAGGGCAGAGAGTGGTGGTCAATGGCTCAATGTCTGGATGGAGATCAGTGACGAGTGCTGTCCTCCAGACGTTGGTGTGGGGCCAATACACTTTAACATCATCATCAGTGACACTGACAGCGGGGTTGAGTGCAGCCAAGTTTGCGGAAGACGCCAAACTGTGGTGTAGTTGACATGCCAGAAGGAAGGGATGCCTAGACGTGAGGCAGCGGTGTGCCCTCACAGCCCAGGCAGCTAACTGTGTCCTGGGCCGCATCAAAGGAAGCGTGGCCAGCAAGTTGAGGGAGGCGATCCTGCCTCTCTACTGGATGCTCGTGAGGCCTCACCTGGAGTGCTGCATCCAGGCATGGAGTCCTCAGTACAGGAGAGATGCAGACCTGTTGGAGTGCATCCAGGGAAGGGCCACAAAAATGATCCACAGAATGGAACACCTCTCCTATAAGGACAGACCGAGAGCTGGGGCTGTTCAGCCTGGAGAAGAGAAGGCTGTGAGGTGACCTGATAGCAGCCTTTCAGTATCTAAAGGGGAGCTACAGGACAGGAGGGAACGGACTCTTTAGCAGGGCCTGTGATGATAGAACAAAGGGAAATGGTTTCGAGTTCAAAGATGGAAAATTTAGGTTAGATATAAGCAAAATATTTTACATTGAGGGTGGAGGGCACCAGAACAGGTTGCCCAGTGATGTGGGTGATGCCCCATCCCTGAAGACTCTCAAGGCAAGGCTGGATCAGGCCCTAGACAATCTGATTTAGCTGTGATGTTCCTGTTCATTGCAGGGGAGTTGGAGTAGGTGGCCTTCAGAGGTCCCTTCCAACTCTAAGGATTCTATGATTCTATAAACTAAAATGTTGTCAGAAAATTTTGTTCTGTCTTTTCAGAAAGTAGTTTAATTATATACTGTTTTTTTTTTAATGGTCTTTAATTGTGACCTTTGTCTCTTGTAGGTTGAAGATCTTTTTTACAATGTAAATACAAGGAGGAAAGCTTTAAAAAATCCAAGTGAAGAGTATGCAAAAATACTAGAAGTTGTTGGCAGGTAAACTGAAATAAGCAGCTCTAGTTCCTTTTGCCATGAAGAACATGGGTTTTCCAGAGAGATTGGTGTATGTGATATTGTGATGCTGTTGTTTTGTTTTTTACTTCTTTTTTTAGTGTACAATGTTAGATAACAGTCTGTGTTGATGGAGAAAATTTAGATGATGAAAAGCTATACTCAATTCAGGTGTATTATTACTAAGAATCCCAGCAAACAAATGGAGATAGACTTGAATAAGTGAACTGCAAATAAATTTGACTTGAAAAGAATCCAAGTAAAAACTGAATAACTGAATGTGAAAAAGAAAAAGCTGAATGGCAATTTGACTTCTTAAAAAAAAATGTACATATCACTTTAGCTACCAGATATAATGTTTCCTTATTGGGTTCCTTTTCTGCATCTGATATGTGCAGAGGTTTGCAAGCAGGACCTATGCAATTTAACCACATAAAACTGCTTTGCACCCTCAGTAAAAACAAAAGATAACAAAGAATAGCAGGGCACTGTGTTAAGTTTTAACGTTCTGCTACTTAGTCTTCACTGTGAAGAAACACTTCAGTCAGGAAGTTACAAGGCAGGTCTGACTGTTATGTGGAGTGGGCTGATCTGAAGCCTTGCTGAGTTTGCCTTCCAACTCAACCTTCTGTGATGCAGTGATGGCATCAGTGCACACAGGAAGGGCAACAACTGATGTCATCTACGTGAACTTGTGGAAGGCCTTTGACATTAAGCCAAGGTTATGCAGCTGGTGTGTATCATAAGTTGGCCTTGGATAAAAGGCAGCTGAACTGTCTGGGTAGGGTAGAAGCCAGCCATTTCTCAGCCCTTTCTTCATACAGGTTGATAGTGGATTCTCCTAAGAGAAAAGCTGAATGTTCTCAGTACTAAAACTACGTATTGAAACTGAACTAATGAGATCTATGTAAGTTGATTAGGTTTGTTGTTATTTTTTATGGTTGTTTTTTTAATTATTGTTTTAGTTTTTTTTTGAGAAACAAACTAAGCTGATTATTTTTTTTTCCTCTCCCACATGATTACAGATATATCTGTTATAAACAGCCCTGTTACTAGCTCCTTTTTCAGCATTCACAAACAGGAGCCCTACATTCCTTTTTCTCTCACGTACTGCAGTCTTATGTTGGCTTTCTTTTTTTTTTTTTTTTTTTCCAGGTATGCCATCCATAACTCAGGTATCAGCTTTTCAGTTAAAAAGGTATGTAAATAAAGTCCTTGTAGTTTCACCATATACATGTCTGGTCAAGGTTTTATATATATTTTTCTTTGACACACACATAGGTATGAAAACAACAGAATAGTTGCACTGCCTCTTTTGCAGAGGGAATGGCATATGGAGCTTTTCCTTGTACTGAAATATTGAAGTGTACTTTGTTGCAGTTGAGTAGAAATCACTTTAGCAAACAATAAAGAAAACAATGTATTTCTCAGGAGTTTGGTGTTTTCTCTGTGGTCAATGTTTCATTTGTTTTAGCTTTATTATAGAATCATAGAATGACTTGGGTTGGAAGGGATCTCAGAAGATCATCTAGTGCCAATCTCCCTGCTGCAGGCAGGGCTGCCAGCCATCAGATCAGGCTGCCCAGAGCTCCATCCAGCCTGTGCCTTGAACACATCCAGGGATGGAGCATCCATAGCTTCTTGAGGCAGCCTTTGTCAGTGCCTTGCCACCCTCATGAACAATTTTTTTCTTATATCTAATATTAAACTTTTTTTTTTTTAAGTATAAAGCCATTCCCCTTTTTGTTATCAGTACAGTCCCTGCTAGAGCCCCTTGCTTGCTTTCCTGTCAGCCCCCATTAGGTACTGGAAGGCCATTCTGAGGTCTCGTCAGAGCTGGACAACTCCAGCCTGTTTTCATAAGAAAAAATGACAGCCCTCTGAGCATCCTCATGGCCTCCTCTGGATCTGCTCCAACAGGTTCATGTCCTGCTTGTGTTGGTGGCCCCTGAGCTGAATGCAGGTGAACTGCAGGTGGGGTCCTGAGAGCAGAGCAGAAGGGGAGAATCGCCTCCCTCACCCTGCTGGTCATGCTACTTTTGAAGCAGCCCAGGATACAGCTGGTTTTCTGGATTGCAAGTGCATGTAGCACGTTGAGTTTCTTTCTCATCAACTGATGCCCCCAAGCCCTGCTTACAGCTGCTCTCAGTCCATTCTCTGCCCAGCCTGTATTTCTGCTTGAGATTGCCCTGTTGTAGGGGCAGGACTTTGCACGCAGCCTTGTTGAACTTCATGAGGTTTGTGTAGGCCCACGCCTTGAGCCTGGCAAAGTCCCTCAGTACAGCATCACTTTCTTCCTGCATGTTGACTTCACCACATAGCTCAGTGCTGTTGGCAAACTTGGTAAAAGTGCACTCAGTCCCACTGTCCACGTTGCTGACAAAGATGTTAAGAAGTGCCAGTCCCAATATCAACCCCTGAAGGACATCACTTGTCACTGGTCTCTACCTGATCATTGTGCTGTTGATCACAACTCCTTGAGTGCAACCATCCAACCAATTCCTTATCCACTGAATGGTCCATCCATCAGATCCTTGTCTGTCCAGTGTGGAGACGAGGATTTGTGGGATAATGTCAAATGCATTGCATTTGAAGTCCAGCTAAATGATGTCAGTTGTTCTTCCCTTTTCCACCAGTGCTGCAACACTGTCAAAGAAGGTCAATATATTTTTTTCAGGCGCAATCTGCCCTCAGCAAAGCCATGCTGGCTGTCACCAATGACCTGTTTTCCATGTGTCTTAGCTTAGTTTCCAGAAGGATCTGCTCCATGATCTTGCCAACCACAGACTGGCCAGTAGTTCCCCAGGTTTTGCTTTTTTTCTGTTTTTAGAAAAGGGTTATGTTTTTCCCTTTTCTGGTCACAGGGAACTTGACTGGACTGCCATCACTACTCCAATATGAGTAGTGGCTTAACAACTTTATCTACCGTTTCCCTCAGGACCTTTGGATGCATCTCATCAGGTCTCATGGACTCATGCACCTTCAGGTTCCTTAGATGGCTTCAGACCTAATTTACTACATGGGCAGTTTATTATTCTGCCAGTCCCTCCTTTGCTATCTATGACTTCGGCAGCATGGCTAGAGCACTTGAATGAGGAAAAAAATGTCTTTGAGTACCTCAGCCTCCTCCATATTCTGTGTAACCATGACTCCTTCTGGAGAGAGCCCACGTTTTCTTCCTCTTATCATCAGTGCACCTATAAAAACTTTTCTTAGTGCCCTTGATATCTCTGGTCAGATCTAGTTGTTTTCCTAACCTAATCCTAACTTTCCTAGCCTGATACCTGTCTGCTTGGACAAATCCTCTGCATTCCTCACAGGTATGCTTCCATCTCTGTAGGCTCCTACGTCCAGGAGCTCCTTGTTCATCCATCTGTCCATCAGGGATCCTGGTGTTTTTGCTTCCTCTCTGTTGGGACGCATAGCTCCTGAGCTTGGTGGAAGTGATCTTTGCATATTAGCTGGCTTTCTTGGGCCCTTCTTCCTTCCAGGGCTTTATCCTATTGTACTCTACAGCACAGGTCCCCAAAGAGGCTCAGGTCTGCCAAAGCAAGCTTGCAGTATACCTTTCTCTATGTCCTAAGGATTCTGAAGTCCACTATTTATGAGCTGCTTCAGCCTTTTTCGAAAGTCTGGTTACTAATAACTGTGTGCAATAGAATTGTGTGAAGTACCTTCATTATATGATGTTCTTGACACTTATTTCTAGAACTGCCCATGTTCCTCAGCTTCAAAGATGAAGTATTAGCCTGAGTAGCTCTGATGTGGTCTAGCAAATTCTGCAGTGCCTCTTAACATTTATTGCTTTTCTAAACACAAATAAGTAAATGATATAAAACATCCAATGACATTTTATCATTTGTTAGAGATATTATTGCTAAGTTTCATGTGTTTATGAAACTTCAGACGGAACTGTGAGTTGACTCATAGTCCTTTCTGGTCTCTTCAGCAAGGTGATACTGTGTCAGATGTTAGAACTTTAGCAAATGCTACGACGGTGGACAACATCAGGTCCATCTTTGGAAATGCTGTTAGCAGGTATGTTGATGTCATGTTTCATTTAGATGTGAAGTATTCCAGTACATCTCCCTCTATTTTCTCTTTTAAAGAGCACAGGCTGTGCTAACTCTTCCTGTTCGTCCTTCAAAGTGAATTACAGAGAGTGATGGTTGCAGTAATTAAAAAAAAAAAGTCTTTTCTGTTTTGCAGGCTTTTTAAAAATTTATTTTAAACTGTATCAAATGAAAAAGGAAGTTGTAGTTACTCCTTCACTGGAAGGGAACAATCTGCTTGTAATTTTTGTGTGCTAAACCTAAAAGACCAAGCTGTATCTGTTTCCTCTGTAAGTTTCTGTCCTTTTCTTACACCTTACCTCTTCATACCTCAGTTTTGCTATTTGATAAATTTCAGTCCTTAATTTTTTTTTTTTCTGAAGTGTTCCATGTTAAAATTTTGACAAAAGCTACATTGGCTGGGGCTGGGTAAACCAGCCAGAAAAGCTGAAAACAAAACCACTCATCTATTCTGCTGCTTAAGGTAAAACTCTATCTTCATAAAATGTTCAGCTGAGAAAAATTCACAGCACAGATCTGGGGAATGCATTTGAGATCTCTCTAATATCAGTTTGATTCAATTACTAAAACCACAAATTATGTCTAAGGAAGACATCTAATAGATGAAAACACCTTTAGGTGCAGTATTTATTTACCAGGTACTAGTTTTCCTCTACTTCCAATTCTTGTTCGATAATGCTTTTCCTTTGCACAACCCTGAAGGTGTAGAAAGAAAACAAAAAGAGAAAGGAAATGCCAGCTGTATTTTCTTGTTTGTGTGGTTAAATAATTTTATAGCTCAGCAAAGAATGTTTGAAATCTCAAATAATTTGAATGCTATCCTTAACCATGACATAACTACAGTATCGAACAGTATGTTGCTACATGTGAGGGCTGTTTGAAATGTGCATTAATGGAAGAATACATTTTGTGTGTATGTGTGTGTTTCTGTCAAACTGTCAATAGGGAACTCATAGAAGTGGGATGTGAAGATGTAAATCTGGCCTTTAAGATGAAAGGCTACATCACGAATGCCAACTACTCTGTGAAGAAATGTATATTTTTACTCTTCATAAACCGTAAGTTAAAAGACATAAAAAGCAACGTGTTGTGCGGTCATGCTGCTTACATAATAATCAGTAGAGCACAGCTTTCTGATGAACTGCAAAAGCCTTCTGACTATGTACATTTTTCAAAGATGTCAAAGAATTAATATTAACCTTACCTGTAGATCTCAAGGTGCTTTTCAATTTTTAATGTGGGTCATGCTTTGCAGCGAAAGTACTGGAGTGCAGCTCACACTTCAGTAGCTGAAGCTTGTGGAAAAAATCAAGGTTATGCATGCCTTTTGCAGATGCAAAGCTTGAAGATATTGGTTTGAAGGATTAGTTAGGCACCATCTAATCTATTTCAGTGGCATTCTTTGATAATAGCATTTGGTTCTGTTTCAGATCGGCTGGTAGAGTCAACTGCTTTGCGGAAAGCCATAGAGACTGTGTATGCTGCTTATTTGCCAAAAAGTACTCATCCATTCCTATACTTAAGGTAAAGTAATGGGAAGAAGTAGTCTGGCAATAATGCAGCACACTTGAAATCTTGGGACAATGACCAAGAATCACTGAGGCTATAGGAGAAGGCAACAGGGAAACTCAAGGAAAATACTTCAAAGGAATTAAGGAGTTCTCCTCCAACAAGGTGATAAGGCTGGCTGCCCTGCTGAAGTGCCTCAACACCAATGCATGCAGCTTGGGAAAAGCAGGAGGAGTTGGAAGTCACTTTAGTACTAGAACACTGTAATGTATTTGCTGTTACTGAAACCTGGTGGGATAATTCCTGCAACTGGAATGTGGCTATTGGCAGCTATGAGCTGTTCAGAAGGGGCAGATGAGAAAGGAGGGCAAGAAGGATTACCCTCAACATCAAGAAAGGAGTAGAGTGAGAAGAACTGTCCCTGAAGAATGGCCATGAGCCAGTCAAAAGCCTATGGGTGAGAGTTAAGAGACTGAGGCAACAACGGCAGCCCTGTGGCTGGTGTTTACTACAGGCCGCCTGATCAAGAAGAGCCTGATGATGATGAAACCTTCTTCCTCCAGCTCCAGGAGGCACCACGATCACAAGCTCTTGTCCTGCTGTGGGACTCAAGCATCCTGACATCTGCTGGAAAAGTAGCATGGCAAGCTGTAGCAGTTCAGGAGGCTTCTGGAGTGCATCAAGGATAACTTCTTAGGCCAAGTAATAGAAAGCTCTACCAGGGAGATGCAGTACTGGACCTGTTGTTCACTAATAAAGATGAACTGACTGTTGACCTCAGGATATAAAACATGTCTAAAAACATTTTAGTAGTCCAGTGGAGAGGTTGATTTAAGGTTATTTATGCAAGCTGACTTGGCTGAGATCAGAATAGAATTTTAATACACCAAACAAAACTGACTGTAGTGTAACTTGAAGTTTCAGGATCATTATGGTTTCTTTTCCTGGGGTGATTGGTGCCTGGTTTGATAAATTTTATACTGAACCAATTTGTAGCCTCTCTGCCATCCATGGGTAACTTTGTTAACTTCTTTTAAATGTTTTCCAGCCTGGAAATAGCCCCTAAAAATGTTGATGTGAATGTGCACCCTACAAAACATGAGGTCCACTTCCTTCATGAAGACAGCATTCTAGAGCGTGTGCAACAACACATAGAGAGCAAGCTGTTGGGTTCTAATTCTTCAAGGATGTACTTTACTCAGGTGAGGATACATGTTTCAGGTAACCACAGCCCTGTACAAAGTACTTTAACAGCAGTGGATGTATTATTTGCTTTCTTCAAAAGCACAAGCTAGGCTGGTCACCGGTGTTATACTGGTAGCTTGAGATCTTTAATGTTTTGGGGATGAAATTGCCTTAATATACCAATGATAATAATGTGGCAGTGAACTTACTGGATAAGAAAATATCTTGAACAGATACTTCACAAAGTTATTTAATCTTTTTCATTTTGCAGGTATATTACCCTCCAACCTTGGTCAGCTTTTGTTCTGCCTTTTTCACAAGAAACATGAGACTGAGGAAACTGTGTATCTGATGATGCTGAATTTAACCCAACTGGAAAAATAGCAGGAAGAATGTCCTAATCTCTTTTTAAATAGAGGATAGTATAAGAACTGTAACTGTAATCTTTTTTTTTTTAAGAAAAAAAAAGTTTTCTTTGTGCTTTTTTTTCCTTAAAGACTTTGCATTTCAGACAAGGGAATGCTAACTGATGATTTCTGTAGTTGCCAAGATGATGACACTCATGTTATGTGAATGGCAAGTACAAGGCTGGTGGTTGTCTAAGCAGCTGAGATGGTTTCTGTGGGGTTTGGAAGTTACTTGCTTTCAAGAAGTAAGATGCTGTGAGAAACAGAAATGATCTTTGTGTTGTCTGTGTGCTCTTGCTTACGACCGATCTCTCTTCTTTCTCATATCACAATGAAGACATTGCTTCCAGGGGCCGAATGTTCTTCCAGTGAGGTGGTAAAATCAGCAGCAAGCTCTTCTACGGCTACAAAAGGAACCAGTGATAAAGTTTACGCGCACCAAATGGTCCGCACTGATTCCCGAGAGCAGAAGTTGGATGCTTTTCTTCAGCCAGTGAACAACCCCCTGAGTACAGGCCGCACCGAAGAGACAACAGGGGTTAACGTGGCAGCTCTGGAGGGCACATCAGGAGGCCAACAGGACCGTCCTACTAGGCCACAGGATGCTGAAATGGAAGACGTGAGTGAGCTTCTGGAAACAGCTGATGTAATTGAAATGGCTGACGTTCAGCAGGATGCAGTGATGCCTGGAGGGCTGAGTAAGAGCGGACACTTGTCTCCTGAGAAAGCACTTCCTCGGTAAGTCTCATCTTTCCTGAGGTCCTACCTGTTTATTTCATGGCATCAGCCTGAATTCGAAGGTTTTTCTCATCTCTTTGGACTTCTGCTTTCAGAAGGTTGTTTTGTTTTCTTCTCTAGAGCATCTCCTTACAGCATTTTAGTGAGAAATCCAATTTCATATGGGAACTGTAAATTACATAATCCTGTTCCAGTTTTCACAAGTTTCTGTGCATGCTGCAAGGCGACAAACAGTATAACTAATGATACTGACTTTCCTTCAGAGGGATCGTATCCATCTACCTCACTTCATGGGTTCACCCTTTTGTGGTACCATGGAAAGACAGCAACTACATCACAGCATTTTGCAGCTGTTGCCCTAGTAAAGATAAAAACCCTGTTGTGTTTTATGGCTCCCTTGAGGGCTGTTCTGAGAGGCCAGAGTCTTCTGAGGGAATCTGGTTAGTTTTTTCCCTACTATTACAGAGAAAGAAGAGTAGAAAAGGTAATTAGAAATAATTATCCTTTTTCTAGTGAATTATGCCTAGGAAGAAAAGTAAAACAGTATTTCTTTCTGGGAAACTGAGGAAACTTCCTGCTTTGCTTTCTTAACGTAGAGTATATGAATTCAGCATCCTGTCTGTTTGAGTGTGCTTTGCTTAAGTGACAGAAAAGCAGAACATCTTTCCTCTTTGTTTCTGTATTGCAGAAAGAGACCACGGGAAGACACAGACATACAAATGGAAGAAGACACCAGGAAGGAAATGACTGCTGCCTGCACCCCTAAAAGAAGAATTATCAATTTGACCAGCGTGCTGACTCTCCAGGAGGAAATTAGCAGCCAGGCACATGAAAGTAAGCGAGTGTTTTGTTTCTCAGGTTTGTTTTACCAGATAAAGATGATTCTTTGGACTGCTAAGGGGGAAAAAGTTAAAAAGGTGTCCCAGATTCTTTAAAACGTGTTAAATAGGTTATAAATCTCAAACTGCATCATAACTAATGCCATAAAATCGCAGCTTGAAAAACTGAGTTAATTATTATTTTTAAGCAAATCCAATTTACGATATTGTCATTATAAGAAAATTGGCTGAGTTGCATGATTCCAAAATAGATTCATAAGGAGAACATAATAATGGGACAAGCTTGATAATTGTGTTTTTTTCTATTTGGATCTGTCCTGTGTATATAAGGGGAGTTTACAAGAGACTGGTGAAAGAGTTTGGAAAAAGATGAAAGGTTTGCAGTTCTTCCTTGGGTTGTTCCCTCTTCACTCCTTCAGTTGCTTTAAGAGTTGCATAATGACATTGAGTCACACAGTGCTGTATTATTCAGCTAGTCTAAATGTCTTATCTGTGTTGAATTTTGTTGTTGGAATTACTGTGATTTTCCTGCTAGCAAGAAAACTGGTGAGCAAGAAACAGCAAGAAATTACTGGTGAGCAGCTCTACAGCCAACGTGGCAAAACTAGCAGACTTCTGAAATAAATAACTTGTTTAAAAAAATTCAAAAGATCAGGATTTTTAGAAAGCACATTCTGACACTACTTGTGCTCTACAAGTTTTGCAGTAGGATGGTAATTCTGAGCTGGCAGTTTCATAGCTCACTGTCACAGTTTAACTACTGAGATCACATAGTTGTAGTCCTGTACCATAAAATTCTCCATAAACTTTGTGGCAGACCTTGTGCAGCTGCTCGAGGTTGTCTTATCTCCACACGTGTAAGAAATTCTTTTCCTGCAGTATTACAGTATTCTGGAAAAGTAACAGTAGATTTGTTAGCGTAGTGCTTTGTGTTTTTTACGTGTGGTTTTGCTGTGACTGCAATGTTGTGCTTCTATAACCAAGTTTCTTCTGCAGGTTGTAGTGACGTTTGCAGAATGCCTAAAACGAACATGGAAACTGGACTTGTCATACTTATGTTTTCAAATGCAAGAGAAGGCCAGAAACTTATTAAGGGGGAGAAGGGAGGGATTATAGACCTAAGTTACTGCATTTCCAGAATGCAGTCTGACAGCATTAGATTTTGTTGCAACTTTGTTCTGCATCTAGAAAGATGCTAGGAGCCCAGTGCAGGGCCACAAAGATGATAAAGGGCCTGGAGCATCTCGTGTAAGAGGAAAGGCTGAGTAACATGGGGCTGCTCAGCCTGGGGAAAGGAAGACTGGGGGAGATGGGGTGGGGATTAATGTTTATAAATACCCACAGGGAGGTGGGAGGCAAATGGATGAGGCAGGCTCTTCTCAGTAGTGACAGGACAAGGAGCAGTGGCCTAAAACTTGAAGATAGGAAGTTCCACACAAACATGTGGAAGAACTTCTTTACCATAAGGGTGATGGAGCACTGCAACAGGCTGCCCAGAGACGTTGTCGAGTCTCCTTCTATGGAGATATTAAAGATGCATCTGGATGCCTACCTGTGCCACCTGTTGGAGGGAACTCCCTTTAGCAGTGGGTTGGATTCAATGATCTCTTGAGGTCCCTTCCAACCCCTTCCCTTCTGTGTGATCTGCTGTGTTGTTTTTTTGGTTTTTGTGTGGTGGTGTTTTTTTTCTCCCCCTGCCTGTGTTCCCTTGCAAACCTCCTGTGGCTGAAGCAACTTGAGAAAGTCAGGTCAAAAGGAGAGACTTCTAAAAATTTGCATTTGCAGATTAGCTCATAACCTTTCTCATTTATGCTTTAACATTGAGTATATGCATATGCAAATAATTAAGATTTCAAAATGAATTGTAGCATTACAGGCCTACATTAGAAGCTGTAGCATAGCAGTGACCAAACAGTAACCAGACTCTAAAAGTCACAGATGACTCAGCTGAATACATTCGGGCACACTTAGCACACAGGATGTCATACTTTTTCTCTTGTTGTTTTCCTTCTTTTCCTCTCTCCAATTGCAGGTCTTCAGGAGATGCTGCGCGATCACTCATTTGTTGGCTGTGTCAGCCCTCAGTGGGCTCTGGTGCAGCATCGGACAAAACTGTATCTTCTCAATACAACAAAACTCAGGTAACAAAGCTGTCGTTTCCAACATGGCCCATTTTTCCCCTCTTAATTAGGACACCTTGGAGATGCACGATGTATTCATACAACAAATGTTTGTGTTTTAAATTTAGCCAAGAACTCTTCTACCAAATACTTATTTATGACTTTGCAAACTTTGGCGTTCTAAGGCTCTCTGTAAGTATACTTTACATTGTGTTCTATATGAGATTATTTACAGGAACCCTGTCCTTTCAAATAACCTGCGTGTTTATAGGTTCTTCTATGTCCACTGTGGGAGGGATGTGCCGTGTCCTTTACAGTAATACAGAGTGGCAAAGCTGCAGTAATTTTGTAGCTGCAGCTGCAGGTTGCGATCCTGGCTGCTGGTTGTGCTTCTGACTGTTCACCAGGCTTTGCTCATACATCAGTACAAATAATTGTAACGTACCTCCTGTGCTTAGCAGAAATACTGTTGGATTTGATAGCACTTATCCCGTGAATATCACAACACTTTGCAGGATTGTGGACTTCATGGAGTTTTTTTCACAAATTCACACTTTGTAGACTGGTTGATGAGCTGATGTGCTCTGCAGGATAGAAGCTGTATATTTAACTCTCATGTAAGGAAGAATCTGTCTTTTTTTTTTTTTTAAGGGTGGGAGCAGTTTGGGCTGATGGTTAACAACACTTCTGCTACTTTGACTTCTAGGAACCAGCTCCTTTATATGAGCTTGCAATGCTTGCTTTAGAGGACCCAGAGAGTGGCTGGACAGAAGAAGATGGCCCAAAAGAAGGCCTTGCTGAGTACATAGTTGAGTTTCTGAAAAAGAAGACTGAAATGTTAAAAGACTATTTCTCTCTTGAAATTGATGAGGTGACTCTTCACACTAAATAGTGCTTTGTTTTGACAGCTGGTAATAGCAATAGTTTGCTTGCAGTGCTTACTCTCAGCAAGAGCTAGCTCTGGTAAGACTTGGGTGGTTTACCCCTTTCATTAAAAATGCTCAGGACATGCTGCTTTTAAAGGAGGGCTACACATTTAATTATATTAATTATCAAATAAAATGCTTGAGTCATTGCTTCAGTAACTAGCCTGCAGCTTTCCTGTCCAGCAAGGTGTGCAACCTCACTGCAGCCGAGGCTGAGCTACAGGATCTCCCTCACTTTTAATATTTGTGTGTGGCCTATTGCATCTTTTATTCTGTACAAAACTGAACAGCTTTAGCAAATGTGTCATGTAACCTTGACTTCTCACCTCGTATTCTCAGTGGAAATAGGATCAGCATAGTCAGTGGGTAGAGGAGGGAGCTCAGTTGAGGTCTTCCAGAGGTGAAAGCTCTAAACTGAGGCATTATAAGTTAAATGCCACCACCAACCCTTTTCCTGCAATGGCTACCTGGAACTGGGCTTCAAAAACTTGCAACTTCAGATATCCCCTAACGCTCAGCAAGTTTAGCAAGGAACAGTCTTAAAATAGGTAACAGTTGTAGCGCATCCACTGCAAGAAAAACCATATGTTTTACTGAAGCAGTAGCATTGCCTCTGCAGGAAGGAAACCTTACTGGATTACCACTCCTGATAGACAACTACATTCCCCTGCTGGAGGGACTACCGATGTTTGTCCTTCGTATGGCCACTGAGGTATGTTTTTGGAAGTTATTTGTTATCAAATGTCTTTTTTAACTTAGGAAATTATGAAGTGAGTCAAGTGAATTAATGGTAAGCTGCAAAGGAGGGGCTGAAATAGATTAAATGCACTGTTACATATTCCAGGCAATAGTTACTGATTAATCAGACTTTGCCTCTCATTTCTAACTACTAACTGAGTATGTTTTGATTTGAATTGCCTCCATTTTTACTCATTTCTGTTCAGTGCCTTCACGTTACCAGCACAAAGATGGCCAGAGCATTATTCTGTACCGTAAGGAACGTGCTGTAGCAGTGGGGCTGGGCTCTATGATAATTAGAGTTCCCTTACTGTGCTTTCCTGATTTTTATTTTTTATTTTTTTCCCCCATATTAGGAATTATTACCAAGTCTCTGGCCACTTATCCCGATTTTATTAAATTACTTCTTTCTTCTAACAGGTAAACTGGGATGAAGAAAAGGAGTGCTTTGAAAGCCTAAGTAAAGAACTGGCTATGTTCTACTCCATTAGAAAACAATATATAATAGATGAAACCAACCCGACAAGCTCTCAGGTACCATAATATGTTACTACTTATGTAACAAGCATTAACAAGACAAACTCTGTTCTTTTTCTCCCCCAAACTACAGACTTCTGATTGCAGTAACACTTCATGTATACATTTAGCCTCAGTTTGCAAAGTGTTTTTTTAACCTGTTGAGCTACAGTAAGCTTCTAGAGGTGGATGCATATAACCTAAAATGTAGTTTGCTTGTGTATCTGTTTAATCATTCAGTTAAGCTAGCCAGTTCAAGTGACATCACTCATGGATTTTTCAGAGCTTAAAATTGACTTTGCAGTACAGAACGAACTTTACTAGCAGAATTTTAGTCTCAGTAGTCTGACAAAGTTGAAGTGCTCTCTGTTAGTGAAATAACTTCAATTTGTTTATCCTTTCTGTTCCACGTTTCAGAATGAGGATTCTGACTCTGGTTCACCACCATGGAAATGGACAGTGGAGCATGTTGTTTACAAGGCCTTCAGGACTCATCTTTTACCTCCTAAACACTTCACAGATGACGGCAATATTTTGCAGCTTGCTAACCTGCCTGACTTGTATAAAGTTTTTGAGAGATGCTAAGAAATTATTTGTATAGATTTGTGCATATGTAAAAAACTTGTTACACTGTTATATTCAGATAAAGTATTGGAGGCAGTGGGAAGGGAAGAGAGGATTGAATGACAGCAAATAGATGCTATATTTTTTCTTCAGTTTATCAGAGAACAAAAAGAATTGATTATGTTCCTAAAATAAAAGATAAGATTTCATTTATGGGCTGTGCATCAAGTTTGCTGGAGAAGAGAAGCTAACTTGAGCTGAAGCTAACTGAAGTGCAGGTGCTTTAACATGGCTTGAGCCCTGAAGGGAAGATTATCAACTTCCTTTTGTTTTGATGATGCAGGTACCGTCAAAAAAACCAACAGTCTTCATGAACATCAACTTAAAGCACGTGCAGTATCTTTTTAGTACAGGACTAGCTGATGTGGTATTTCAGAGCTCTTCAAATAAGGGGGCTCACTTGCCTTTATCAAGGAGTCTGAAAGTGGAAACAGGAATTTGGTGCAAGGTAACAAGTTTGCAAACATTAAATCTGCTTCAAAGAAGAGCTGCCGTTGATAATCCTGAGCACAGGCTCAAGAATGAGAGACCATTAGTGCTGCTCAGGCAGAAAAAAACCTCATTTTGAGATCTTCCCAACTCTGAACAGTGCAAGGACATCATTGGTCCCTGACCAGCTTCAACTGTGTGCTTTAAAAAAAACAAACAGCAGCGCTAAGGCTCTGGAGTAGAAAGGTCCTACAACCTTCCTTGCTGTGATAAATGCTCCCAAAGTGCACTGTGATTCCCCTTGATATACTGCCACTGCTATAGCTTGCTTGTCTTGTGATTTCACAGAATGGCCCGGGTTGGAAGGGACCCCAAGGTCAGGAGGCACAGTAGGGATGGGTGGATGGTTCAACTACATGATCTTTTCCAACCTTAATTCAACCTGTGATTCTATGAAATACGCTGGCTTAGGAAATGCTTGCAAATTCTTACCTTGAGTTTGCTATATCATTATTGATGTTTGGTATAAAATACATTTCTCTCCCCTCTCAAGGATTTTCTGCCACTACTCCATCTTCTTGTTTTTCTTTATAGCTGTTTTTAACCCATCCTCCTTTTCTAGTTTTTTTCCCCCAAGTATTAAACTGCAAGAGGAAACTGGCACTGAGAATAAGGTTATATTTCTTGTGGTTCAAGAAGAATTTCATACTGCAGATAGACTGAGAGAGGCATTAAAGAAAAAAGGTAGTGTGCTTTGATGAAGGTTATAAGTAATAAAGGAATTGCCCACCTCCTGGCCTAGATAAATTTTTCTCATTAAATTTAATCTTTGATCAGAAATACCGCACCATTATAAAGCCACAGCTTCTCAATTTTTGTTCTTCTAGTGATTTATTCTTACCTGCATCCTCCAAAACAGATCTTGAATATTCTGAAGGGTAAAAAGATATGTTAGCATCTACTCAGGAGTGACACTGGAGAACTTCAGCAACAGCACACTGAACCCAAAGCACCTTTTCACTGCCTTCAGTGTATACTGGTCTTCCACATGAAGGAAGATGGGATGCCTCATCTTTAGCCACACACATTTGCAGAACTGCTATTGGAGCAAAAAGGCAGGTTATGTTTTTAGTTGCCATCAAGCTTTAACTGTAAAACAAAATAAAATAGGTGTGAAGGTATTTTCAAATAACCTTAAATGTAGCTCTTGCAGACTTTAATAGTAACCCTTCTTTCTCCTTTTCCTTTGTAATGCCCCAAAATGTTCTTTGTGTGTGGTCCACTCTCCCCAGCAGATCCCTGTCTTTTTTTTGTGCTGTGGAGCCCAGAACTGGACACAGTACTCCAGCTGAGGCCTGACCAGGATAGAGCAGAGGGGGAAGATCACCTCCCTTGAACTGCAGGCCACGGTGCTTTTAATGCACCCCAGGATCCCGTTTGCCCTCTTGGCCACCAGGGCATACTGCTGGCTCACGACCAACCTGTCCTCCACCAGGACTCCCAGGTCCTTCTCCACAGAGCTCCTTCCCAGCAGGTCATCCCCCAGTCTGTACTGATACATGAGCACCCAGACCACCTGCAACACCTCATAACTTAAGCTGCGAACAGAACAAAAACCTTTGCAACCAAACGGCCCTAAAGGGCAGCTCACAATTCACATATTTGATGACAGGGAGTTTGAAAGCTGTAGTGGCTCACAAGCCCATTTTCAGCTTACTGGATCCCCTGTCCTTCAATCTCAAAAAACCACACATTTTAAAGTTTTGTGGGTTCCTTTAGCATTGGCCTTTCAGTGGAAAAAGATCTGTAAATTGAAACAATACTGGTGCAAGGAAAAACTTAACAGTTAGACAACATTCTGTGTTCTACCCTACGCTTCTGTTTCACAGAACAGAAATACTGCACAGCAGTGGAGTAAACACGTGAAGAATAGGGGGGTACTTACCATGTGCTGTGCAGGTTGCTAGTATTGAAAACTAACAGCTTTGTAAGGAAACTGACTGCACTTACATTCTCCTTTAGGTAGGAATTAAGTGTCACCTAAGCTTTTTTTGATGAAGCATTGGTTAATACTTAAGCTCTGTAGGTGAAAAATAAACATAAACCACATCTTATACCTATATCCAACAACTGATTAAAGCTGCTCTTTACTACAGCAATAATACCACAGTTTGTAAATGCTCACTTTCTCTACTTTGCTCCCCGAACTTGAATAAAATCCAACACCAGCACAGAAATGGGAACGAAATTACTTCAAAAACCTTTTTGCACCCTCCTGATATCACACACAACAGTGAAATCAATGTGTTCTGCTGGCGCTGGCACTGACACTGCATCTCTACAGGTACTTAACCAGACTAAGATATTCTGCACAAAATCAATGTAAACCAGAATCCTCATAACCCTACTAGAAACAAAGGAGTGCTACACGCTGATTTTTCATCTGATAAAGCAACGAAGTATCACAGTGCATTAACCACATTTTAACATTTTTATTTTAGAAAGTGAACATATCCATTAAAAAAAGAAAATGCACGGAGTCAAAAAAAAATAATAAGTAAACATAAAACTAATGACAAAACTGCAAAAACAAAATAATTTTACCTAGTGAGTCCCAACCATTAAATAGACTTCCACCACAGAGAAGTTTTACTTCATTATATTACCAGTCTCTTGATTAGGTACACAAAGACAACACTTTCCAGTAATTACCTAGTCATTAGAAGATCAACTTCAGGAATCACTGAATAATACATCATGGACAAATATTTTCATGCCACCCAGGAGGCAATCTAATATACATATGTCACAAGGTACATCTTTGTGAGGTATTACAGTACACGGGAACCATTCCCTTCGCTTTCTAAGGAATAAATTCTCCAGTCAGCAGCTCCACCAGCAACTCAATCACAGACTGTTGCCAGAGTTTCCAAATCCCCACCAACTTCCCTCAGAGATTTTCCTTCTGTAACAGATTACACAAGTTAAGATGAAAATGAGTCAAAACAATAGATACAGAAAACAGGAAGGCTCAGAAGAAAAAGTCACCCACTATTTCAGACAGGCAATAGACCTCTCAAGTCAGAAGCTTCAACTGCTCTGCAACGTTTAATACCTTCTCTAGCTCAAGCTTTGCCATTTGTGGTAAAATGAAAGCATGAGGTGAGATAACTCTGAAAGTAAGTAATTTCTAAAATATGGATCTATTGAACCAAAGTACACCTCAAAAAATCTTAAAACACAGCTTGCATAATGCAACCCACTTGTACTAAACAGACTGTAATTGGGAAATGCTGAAGCAGTTTTGTCAGAGTCATGTCCTAGACTCAAACTGGAAGAAAATCTCTTCCTAGTACTTCTGCATCCCCATCTCCAGAGACATTTCCCTCCTCCTTTTCCACTTTTGGTCCATCACTTTTCTTCCAAGAAGCCAGAGAAGAAATGGTAGAGGAGGTTCATCCCAAGTTTGCAGCCTTTTACACTGAGCACTGGAAGAGGTGCCTCAGACTCCTGCACTTGGGTTAACCAGAACTCAAGCAGAGGGGCCTAACAACTCTCAAGAATATGAGAGGATTCCTTGCTTGAACTTTGTCAAGACTGCAAGATGAACTCCTAAGAATCAGTCCAACCATTCAAATAATTTGAGAAGGAGCTAAGAAGAAATAAGTATTTAAGATTATTCTGTTGATATGCAGAGGAACTTACCTGCTTTTCTATATTTGCTATACAACTGGTTTTTCACTGTCTTGTTTTTCTTCAGAGTCTTCATCAGATCCTGAACAAGAAGAGAAGAATGTCATCAATTCAGCTGAGAAAATAAGTACCTGTGATAACTCATCTTGCCAAGGAATAAATGTTGGCTCCACTTTTACTTCCTTTTATACTATATTCCTACTGTTTCTACCCATAGACTACTTCTACCCATAAACCTCAAGATAGACTTCACATCTTCAACTAAAATTCTTTTTCAGTGTTAATCATTAGTCATTATTTTTAAGCCCCATTACTCCCAGAGGTCATGCTACCACATCAAATTCTAACTTTCCAGGTGGATAAGACTGCAAATTTGCACGCAATCACAGAAATTTTCTTGACAGTACGCTGGTACAGCACAGCATTACACTCAGAATTGTTTTAATGCTTTGTCATCCCTAGATGGAGCTCTAAGTCACCATTTACACTAAGACACTCAGCAACCACAAAGGCAGCCACTAAACGAGAAGAGTCACCAACATTAATTTTTCTACAGCACAAGACGGGCAAAAGCATCTGCAGCTATATGTGTATGTTATTATTTTAAATATACTGCACAGTAAAGCAGAGCTTTACAAAATAGATTTCTATTTTAGGGTAAGAAGACTGACATGGGATCTTGGGTTCACAGTAGAAAGTACTAATTTCCTTGAAACATCTGCAAACCCATTCCTCGGTATTGCAGTATTCCCATTTATTGCTGGCTTACTCACCTCACAGCTCAACTGGAACAAAGTGCTCAGTACACAGACTCAAGGTATAATTAATGCTTGCTCTCAGTTCAACACACTCAGCACTTCACACAGGAAGCTTTTTATTATGAGAAAGGAGCCTCCAACTGAAACTTCAGTTGGTCTTTTGAGCAGTTTCAAGTTCACTGCCTGCCCTAAAATACTGCAAAGCTTCAAGTTCAGGCTGGATTAAATAATGTAATGCTGAATAAATACTAGTGCTAGCAGGGAGAGAGGGCAGAAAAACAGCAGCCACCTCCATTCAGTTTCTGCCCCATTTTCTTTGAGACTATCTTTTTTCTAATGCCTCTGGGACAAGTCAGAAGACTCACCAACAATCTGTATTGCAATTCATCTGGTAGGTCTTGAACAAAATGAATTGCTGAATAAAATAATCTTTTATTTCAGGATTATGAAATACAGCCTCTATTCATCCTCCACTCCCATACACTACGAAGAGGAAGAAATATGCAGAAGTTTAATGCCATGAAGAAAAATCTTCACAAATGCTACCATAATTACCTGCTACAGATTCAGGAGGAGAATAGAACTGGCCATCAGACAGGACTCCTGGGTGAAGGAGAGCTGCTCGTTCGGAAGCATCCTGTGCTATCAAAAATCCTAACAGGAAAAAAAAAATAAATCCAGACATCATCTCACAGCTTAAGATTAAATCTTGGTCTTAAATACCAAGATCAAGCACCTTCAAGACTGAGGTACTGTATTAACATTACACAACTGCTGATTTAATGTGCAGTTTCTGTAATTACAGGCAGCTAGGGCAGCAAAATTCAGCAAAAGAGAATACTGTACACAAGTTAAGGAATCCTTCCTTCCACTCCATGAGAAGGCATGTTAGGATGCCATATGTGAACTTAGCAGCATCCACCATCTAACTAAAACTCTGACACATGTATTTTTAATGCTCAGTGAACTGCCACGCACGATCAAATTAATCAAAGCTCCTCTTCAGTGCCTGACAAATACTGGTCTGACCCTTGCAACTTTTAACTTTGTGTGCCTAAATAAAAATCCCACTTCATTGAAGGCATATGTTCCCTTCTAGAAAAATTATGCCACATATTAAATTTTTTAAACAACTCAATGTTTTTTAGAAGCTGAAAGATACATTCTTCTGACAATATGGGAGCAAACACTGCCAACTTCAGTGACTGAGAGAGACACAATAGAAACTTACTGTTTTCTTCTTCAGCTTCTTGTGGTAACACTTTGAAGTCCAAGAACCAGGTTTCAATCCATGCAAGTATAAATGATATGATGGGCAGCACGTAGCCAAAAGCACCCTGTGAGAACAGCTAGAAGAAAAAAATATTTACAGTGTTATAGAAATCTACCTGAAGAATCCTGCTTTAAAAGCAAGCAAGCAACCAATCCCAACAAAGTAAAGCAAACGTGATTAGAATATACATACCTGTGAAATAATTACTTTTGCTAGTAAAAAGGCACTGGTCACTGCTGTTGTGAACTGAAAGAAAGAATAAGAACAGTTAATTGTATTTACTTTCTCATTTCTGCCATTATCTGACAGCTTCAATTTGAAATATTTATCAACAGAAGCATCATAGATTAATAAATCTTATCAAGTGTTATTAAAATAACCTTGTTATCTTAGCCTTTTTAGTACAAACAGCTCCAAATGTTCATTTTCATACAGCTGATAGGCAGTTGAGAGGATAACACTGTATAAACTGTGATCTTACTCCACAAAGAAGATGCAGTATTCTCACTAACTCACTTAGATTAAAAAAAAACAATCAGACAGTAAATCTAACTAATTGGGAAAAAGCAAACAATTGCTCAGAAAGCTTTTCACTACCATCCAAATCAAAGTTTTCATTTCAAATAACAAAATATCTTTGCACAAGGAAACTTGAATTAATAGTTTAATTCCCATCTTCCTATTATGAAAATTAAGTCATTTGATACTCCTTGGCATGGTTTAAAAATAGGAGGTGACAAAAAAGCACCTAAAAAAAAAACAAACCCAAAAAACTTCAAACCAAAACAGAAGAACAGTGCACAAGTGTTACTCACTTCAACTGGCTTCTAACTCTGTGTGTTTAGGTCCAGCAACTCCTTAAATAACAGCAGGACCAAACTACCATCTGGTAAGCACAAGTAGGATTTTAAGACCAACAGCTTCTTCAAAACATTCAGTGAAGCTCTACAGATCTATTGCTTACCACCACGATTTTTTATATATATATAATTGACTACAGTTGTCAAGAACCTCCTTTCTAAGAAGGGACACATAACCAATACTCCGTGTTGGAGCAAGGAGCAGTACAAGTGCTGATGCTCATGGCTGGTACATAACATTCTAGCAACTAAAAACGTGTGAATTAACACGTAGCTGATTCTTGGCACAACAAATGCCAATTATTTTTGAAATAACATTCAATATTCCCAGTGCAAATATATTTCAAGCATTAATTAGTAAGTCAGATGGTACAAGTGGTTACAACTACCCATTCATATCAGATTCAAAGTTAGTTTCCAACTTCTATTAACATGATACCTAACAAGGATCACATACACTATGCTATTAAATTCTTGTCTTCGGACTTTAAATCTTCCTAAGCATTTGACTTGAATGAATTTCCATATACACCATCAAGATGATTCTTAACATACAGACATTAAGAGGCATCTAAAAATTTGCCTGTTTGATCCATTCTAGTTGAAACTCCATTATGCTTGGCTGCTACTCACAGCTATTGCCCACCAATGGCGCAGTCTGCACATTGCATATGCAAGTATTAACACCTTAAATCGAAAGACTGCCAGTAGCTACAGAGAAAGGAAAAAAATATTTGTTGGTTAATTCAGAACAAAGAAGAACCACAAGATTCTCAGCTCGCTAAAAATACAAACTGCTAACAAAACAAAACAGGACAATCAGCTCTGCCATTAAGAAACAAATCTGAAGGTGGGTTTGCTTTTTCAAACAATATCATTTTCCATTTTTAAAGCACAGAGATGACTGTATCGTTCACATGGCTACAAGACTCAAATTTACAAGTGTGAGCAACTGCACAAATACAAATTGGAAATATAAGCTACGCAGAATATGTTTATGATCATTTTACCCAACTGGAATCGAAGCAGTTAAATCTAGATGTAGTTAATCCAGCAAATATCTTGAGCATCACTATCTACCTTGCTCATCCTACTAGTGTGCTACTACTGTGCAACAGTATCATTAAAAACTGAAAAGACTTCAAAAATGCAATGGCATGATATTGACCAAATTTGCTTCAGCAATCAATTACTCTTTATGAAGACGCCTGCAGAACCAAGCTACTCCAAATATTCTGCAGGAAAGATTGATGACTTATGGGATTTCTAGGCTAGAAAATGAAATCAATAGCAGACAGATGAGATTACTGAATCAGGGAACAGAATTCTCAGTTTGCCTGCATTCTCTGATACTAGATTCTTCTAATTTGCTTTAAAAGATGCCTTGGGAATTTTAAAGATGTGAAGAAAAAAAAAACACACTCAAAAATGAAAACGGATCTGAGACAGATACGTTTCAATATTGCATATTGCAAATATGTTTCAGAATGTACAGCAGAAACAGAAGAAATTCTGTATAAGCCCACAACTCATTTTGCAGAATTCAATTAAGTTCTTTACAGAGAGAGCAGTGAGGTGGTGCTGGAACAGCTGCCCAGAGAGGCTGTGGATGCCCCATCCCTGGAGGTGTTCAAGGCCAGGTTGGATGGGGCCCTGGGCAGCCTGGGCTGGTATTAAATGGGGAGGTTGGTGGCCCTGCATGTGGCAGGGGGTTGGAGGTTTATGATCCTTGAGGTCCCTTCCAACCCTGGCCATTCTGTGATTCTGTGATGATCTAGTCCCTTCCCAAGGAATACAAATCTGTCATTAGAAGTATTTAATCCTTGGTTCAACTACAGGGCAATTTCCAGAGAATTGACATTTACATAGAACTATTTTTCCCCCCTTCTTTCTGAAATGAGGTACATCACAGAAACCCGCCAGCAAAATAACGATGAGAGAAAAGGAGAAATACAGTTTGATATCTTCTGACATCTTTGTATCCGCTATCTCACTCCATCTGACTCGGCAAATGGCCCAATGCAGAAACCAGAACAAATTTCTGCATTGCAACTTCAGAGCTACAGCCTCTCTGAAAAGACAGAAAAGTTTCCTGAGGCAGAAGAGCTCCTGTGCACTTCAGATGCCTATATACAGGACAGGAGAAATGCACTTCACGTTATCTGCTTATAGTACAACGTTAAAAAACCCTGTTTGAGTTAAAATACAGAAATCTGAACAAACCTGACCCACACAGGCCAACCTGTTAACAAGTTTCTCTCACTGCAAAAGATTTACTTCTGTGGAAGGGCAAAAATGTCAATTTAAAGAAAACGATGTTACAGAAGGGGAGCACCGGCCTTCACCTCTTAATAAAGTCTCTGTGTTAGATCAGTCTCATTCCTGACTTTTTCCACCTCTTCCTTCTCTAAAAACAGAAGATGCAATTTAAGTCTGCCAAAGCATTTCAATTGAAAAACTTGAGAACCTGCTGCTTAAGGACTGGGCAACTCCTAGACAAGGGATATTTGGCACAAACTCTTCTGGTTTAA